ACCTGGGGGACGCAGCCATCTCACACCTTGGGGACAGAGCCATCCCACACCTTGGGGACGCAGGAATCTCACGCCTGGGGGACGCAGCCATCTCACGCCTGGGGGACGCAGCCATCTCACGCCTGGGGGACACAGCCATCTCATACCTGGGGGACATAGCCATGTCACACCTGGGGGATGCAGCCATCTGACACCTGGGGGACGCAGCCATCTGACACCTGGGGGACGCAGGAATCTCGCACCTGGGGGACACAGCCATCCCACACCTAGGGGAAGCAGCCAGCCCACACATGGAAGCCACATTGCTTCCTCTCAAGACATAGGGGCTTGAACCAGCAGGCTCTACTGTTACTCCCCGACTCAGTCTTCTGGTCACCAGTGTCCATGACCCTCTGTCCAGGGCTACCCCCACATAGCTGGATACAGCAAGAAGGGCTGAGTGACAGGAGGGGACAGCCTTTGGGAAGGGGTCCCTCCAGGGGTTTTACTCGTCCATGTCCAGCGAGTGGGGGTGGACTCCTGTGTACTGAGCGCAGTCCAGCCTGGCCATCAGGAGACCTACAGGCTCCTGGAGAAAAGCATCTACACCCACCCCTCCCCAGCCCACCAGGCTCCCTCCTGGCAGTCCAAATAGGAGAAGCCCAGGCAGGGGTCCAGTCTGACAGAGGGGTGGGGGCTGGCATGAAACAGACAAGCCATTGCTAAGGAATGTGCTGTAGCCCAAACAAGTACATGGGCTGTGAGTCAGGCCCAGCTGAGCAGAGGTCATGTGTGAGCCTGGATAAGGTACTAACATGTCTGGGGCTCAGTTTCCACCCTTCATCCCAGGAGTGCCTCTAAATCTCAGCTGTGCCTGCTCCTGCTCCTGTGGAGTTCATGGTTATCAGGATCAGGGTCCTGTGCACTGGTGCCCTCTGTAACCTCGAGGGCAGCCAGTTCTCAACAAACAGGAGCTCTTGGCTCAACCAGCTATCCAGTGTCAGGGCTGAGGGCACTGCCCAGGGGTCAGGAGAGCAGGGGACCTGGAGAAGACAGTGAGGCCCAGGTTTCCAGCCACCTCCTCCCTCCTGGACCTATGCCCCAGGCTCCCCCATCTGAATCTGGACCTAGTGGCTGATGCCTTTACCCCCAACTCCAGCCCTGGGCTTCAAGTCCCCGGAAAGTCCCCATAGCTCTCTGCTGCTTGGCCTGGGACCTTCCCAGCAACTAGAAATGTCTGCCTGGGCGCAGGTCAGCAAGCATCTGGTCCATTCTCTGACCCCCATGGGTGGACCCCAGAACCCAGGCTGGAGACTGGCTCCTGAAGAGACTGGTGCTGGAGCAAGGAGGCTTACTGGACCCTCTGCAGGGGTCAGGAGAAGGGCTAACCTAGAGCAGGTGGGGCCCAGGCACCATGCAGCAGCCTAAGCCAGGCTCTGGGGCTGACCCCAGTGTGGCAGTCCCCACCACCTCCCACGTTAGGTTCACCTCCTTGTTTCTAACTAACACTGACACTTGACCAGCACCAGCCAAGTCTCACTTAGTCCTCACAGTGCCCCATGAGGTCGGCCCACCAGAGCACTGCTGGTCATCCCAGTGGCCACACTCCCCTGTGTCCTCTCCAGCACATGGGCCAGCTCAGACCTTGCATTCCCCGTGTCCACTGCAGCCAGGAATGGCCACGTGACCAAATGCTGGCCATGCTATAAGGGGCCTCTGCACTCTTCATGGCCTTGAGGCAGATGCTCTGGGAGCCACCTAGTGGCCACTAGTGAACCTCCTGCTGAGGGCGGGAGACAGGGAGGGAGGAGCAGGTTCCTGATGCAGGGATCAGGTGGGCAAGGAGAACCACCTGGACTGCTTCTCTGGCGTGAGGGAGGAATACATCTCTCTCTACTTTGGTTTCCTCTGTCATGCACCACAGAACCCACCCTTACGGAGGGAGTACTGTTTTTATCTGCAACACACACACAGAGAAACAGAGGCTCAGGGGATGATGGGGATGTCCAGGGGCAAGGTGGGGTCTGGATCCCATTGGCTGCCTCTGAGGCCCCTGGAGGGGTCTGCAGGATGCTGCTCGGGAAGCCCCAGCACCATTATCTCCTTCTGACACACAGCCTCTGCCAAGGCTGGGCCACCCTGGGCCACAGCACCAGGGCCCTACTGGACTCAGGCGAAGGAGTCCAGACACTCCCTCCTCCCCCAGAGCGAAAAGTTGACCACTCCTGCAGAAAAGAACTTAGGTTTATTTGCAGTAAAAACTGGTCTGAAAAAACCTACTGGCAAGTGTCCAGTCTGTGTTCCATCTGGGGTCACCACCAGCTGTGGGGCCCCCAGGCCCCTGACCCGCATGCACCAGGCTCCTCAGCCCCGCGCGCCCCACCTGCCCCGGCTGCCAACATTCTGCTTAGTGCAATGCAAACCTAACCAAACCAAGTACAGATTTTGAAACAAACACAAAACAAAAAAATTCACAAAGTCCAGGGTTCTAAGTTATTTCTTCCCAGTGTCCTTCATTATCATGATGACTTATTTCTTGAAAAACTAAAATATACATCATTTTCTTGCTATTATAAAAACCTCTTCCTTATCATTCACAGGTCCATCACTGGAGATTTGGGTGAAATAATTATAAATCTTTTTTTCCCCTCAAAAAACAAACAAGCCAAACAAAAACACAACGAAACAAAAACTCCAAAACCAACACACAAGAACTTTCTGGCAGTAAACACAAAAGGGGGCTGACTGGCTCCCCCTGGCCATCCTGGGCTCATAGCGGCAGGGCCGAGGGTCCCTGGCAAAGTGCTCCGTGCGACCGACACACAGGCTCGGGCATGCACTCTCTGAGCCCAAAGCCCTGCTCCCCACCCTCCACCTCAGGTTCTCCCACCTCTCCGACCTTTGCAGGGTGTCTCCTCCCCCAGTGACACCCATCCTCCTGACCCCCTACCTTGTTCCCAGGTGCCAGGTTGCTGGGAGTCTACAAGGCTGACCTCAGGAACGAGCCTCAGGGTACTGTGTGGTGCCCAGGCCCCACCCTCCAAAGGTACCAACCCCCCAATACCCAGCCTCAGTGTAGTTCCCTCCTCCAAGGCTGTGCAGGTGGCTGAAGGTGGAGAGGGCCCAGGAAAACCTGGTCTCACCAGGAGTTTTGCTGCTGGGAAGGTGTCGCTAGGTCTCATGCAACATCAGGGTAGAGAAAATAGGGTCTGGCTAAATAGCCAGAGGTCAAAGGCCAGGAGTAGTCAGGATGGGGGAGCACCCCCAAGAGCACTTATTTTGGGTTGGCCACAGGCCCAGCATGGGCTGCAGGAGCCTGACAGCAGCCCTGCCATGCCAGAACCGACGTCTCATGCAAAGGCTGGGCAGAGCCTCAGAGACCCCTCTGCAGGGTAAGGGGACTCAAGACAGGCCTGTGAGTGGCAGGGGCCTCGTGAGGGGAGATCCCTGTTTTCTTCCCTACCCATTTCAGGGTCTGCAGAAGATATATCTGCCTAGCCATGGGGCAGAACACCCAGGGCAGGGCCTTCTGGAGCAAGGGAAGACAACAGTACCATTGATCAGGGAGCAGCTGCAGCAAAGCCCCCCTGAGGGGGGTCTGCCCTGGGGTCTCTGCACACCCTGATGTGGAGGGAAGTGAGGAAGTCGGGGCAAGCCCCGGGAGCCTGAGAACTGCAAGGCCCCTATGCAAGACTCCCTTCTCCATGCCAAGCACAGTGCGGCTGGGCACAGTCGAGCTCTGGTCCCGTTTGCCTCTCAAGGCCTAAAGCCTCCCCCTGGGAGCAGCAGGAAAAACAGGCAGGCTGAGTGCAGAGGCTCAGCAGAAGGGGCTCGGACTGGTCCCCTCTGCTGTCCTCAGCCCTCCTGGGAACAGATCTGTTGTCTGGACTAAGGTTCCTGAACGCCAACTCAGCCAGACGGCAGCAAGCAATGAGCTTCTGGCCTTAGCTGGCACCCCGAGCCGGGCTCAGAGCATCGCAGGTCGCCCTCCCCTTGTGCTCTGCAGGGACAGCCTGGATTTCCTCTATGTACAAGTAGCGTACCCAGTGGCAGGCTGATGAAACGGTTTGTGTTTAGGACTTCAAATGCCCTCCCCATCCCTGTAGGCCACCGACAGCTAGTGAGCATGTCCCCCCTGAGTCACGAGGAGCTAGAGACAGACTTTGGAGCTGGAGCAACTCTCCGAGGAAATTGGCAAGTCTCCTGTGTCCCTGCAGTCACTGAATGCCCTCCTCTTCCACATACGTTGATGGAAACCAGCCGATCTGAAAAAGATGGCAGGATTGAGGGTCTACATGTGTGTATATATCTACATGTGTGCAAGTATATGTGTGCGTGCATGTGTGTGTCTGGGCTGGGGTGAGCAGGGACTTGTGGAGATGAGAGACCCTCTGGAAGGTCAGAGCTCTCAGCCACACCTGCTGCACAGGGGCCCTGTCAGGAGGACGGGGGCCTGGTGGAGCCACAGCCCAGGAGTGAGAGCGCCCCACTGACATACCAGGCTTGGCCCATTTATAGTGCTCTGCTCCCCTGCAGCTGCCAGTCAGAGCAAACCAAACCTCTGGAGGAAAATAACATCACCCAGAATGATACAGTTTTCCTTATACACAAGCTTGGCATTTGGTCAGGACTGAGAGAAAAGGGGGACAGTAAAAACCAAGCCACAGGTACACGCTTTATCAGTCGGGGGATAGGAATGACCCCCATTTGGATGTTTGAGGAAACTGATGAAAAGGCAGACAATTTTACCAGAGAACTGAAATTAGAAACTAAACAGAAATCCTAGAACTGAAAAATATGATGACTGAAACCCGTAGAGGGATTTAAACAGCAGATCTGACAGCACAGGAGAGACGACTAATGAACTGGAAATCCAGAGAAAAGGCTGAGAAGCACAGAACAAGCCGTCGTGGGAAAAAGTCAGAGGTCCGTGTGAACGGTGCCCTGGGAGGAAAGAAAGAGTGGGAATGCGGCAGACATGCTTCTGTGGAGATGCCAGCTGAGGAATTTCTAAAACTGGTGGATATTAAGACAGATTCAAAAACCTCTGCAAATCCCAAGGAGAATAAATGCAGAGAAAAATCACACCTAGGCACAGTATAGGAAAACTAGTGGAAAACATTTCTTTTTTCTACACAAATGTTGACTGAGGCCGGGAGCAGTGGCTCGTGCTGGTGATGTCAGCACCCTGGGAGGCTGAGGCAGGAGGACAGCTTGAGGCCAAGAGTTTGAGACCAGCCTGAGCAAGATATCGAGGCCTCATCTCTTTAAAATTTTTCTAAAATAAAAGAATCTTGATTTACTTTTCTATCAAAGTAATGGAAGCCAGAAGACAATGGAATGACATTGTTAAAATGCTAAAGTATCTGCCAACCTAGAGTTTTATACCCAGTGAAAACAGTCTTCGAAAATGATCTCTGAACAACTCACAAAAAAGGAAGTAGGACCATGCCTGGTCCATGGTGGAGAACGAATCTGTAACAGAGAAGAGAAAGTTCACAGTGGAGACACTACTAATACCTACAGCGGAAACGACAGTCAGAAAATCACTATTTTCTAGCCACGATGGTAATAACAGTATAGGTGATAGAGTCAGTAGGTGGGCGTTTGACAGGGAACAGCACATCCACCTGGTCTCACAGTATCACCCTGCCAATTCCTTACTCCTCACAGTAACTTCAGCACGGCAGGACCTGGCCACCACGGCAGGACCTGGCCACCACCAGGGCACCACCTTCCCCACGTGATCAAAGGTTTGTCACAAACCGTGGAACTCCTGGCATCAGGCAGCTCCTGATAGGACACCATGGGCTGAGAGGGAGAACCTCCCCATCGGGTGTCCTACTAGGAATGTCTAAAATCAGTCTAATCGCAGGCGGGGCCTGTGGCTCAAAAGGGTAGGGCACCGGCCCCATATGCCGGAGGTGGCAGGTTCAAATCCAGCCTCAGCCAAAAAATAATAATAATAATAATAATAAGTCTAATCGTGAGGGAACATCAAACAAACCAACTGGCCCAAACTCCTCAAAAATGCCAGTCCTCCGGGACAGAGAAAGCCTGAGGGGAGAGTAAACACAACTCAGGGACTCGGATGGGGCCCAGGCTCAGGGGAAACCACCAGAGGGACATTATGGGACGAGTGCGGAAGTGTGGGCTGTGGGTGAGAAGACCTTCTTATGCCTGAGGGGGACGTCCTGGCCTTTGGAAAGACTTAGGTCAAACAGATAGGATTTGTGTAATTCCCCCTCCCTTAGAGGATTAGAGGAAGGAAGACCCCAGGGGCGTGTGTGCACACAGAGGTGAAAGCACGAAGGGGCATCTTGCAGACGGGGCAAGATGTTCACAGTGGGTCCATCTGAGCACAGGGGAGCTATTCAGGTTTTGAACTGTGTCAAAATTAAAAGTTATAAACGTTTTAAAATGAGAGCATTAGCAAAGAAAGTGAAATAAAGGTGTTTTAGATCCATCAAATACTAAGAGTGCACTAGCAGCACACCCAGGCTGAAGGACGTGGACGCGGGTGCAGCAGCAGGGCACGGTCTCGGGCAGAGACAGAACCCGGGAGGTGTGAGGAGCCCTGGGAAGGGGACACGCTGA